TATATGTAATAATAAAAACATTGCATCTATAAAACCAATCGGTCTTATAAAAAAACTTCTAAAAATTGATGTTTATTTATAGCCAGATGTCTGTTTCCTCTTCTCCGTGCCTGAGACCAGAACACCCACCTGATGATGATCACTGGATAGATGCCCACACCACCAAACACCTACTAGAGGGACTGGCCTCTCTGGGCCTCCCTGAACGTCTTGGTGGGTGTGAAACTGTGCTGAGGCCAGGGAACAGAGACCCTGGGACACAGACCCTGTCCAGTGGATCTTAAAGAAAAAAAAATTTTAATCTGAAGATAACATGGGAATAAGACATAGTGGAGAGCCTGGACTATGGAAATAAAATCCTGAGAAAGGTTTTCACAGTTCAGCTTTTATTAAAATTAATGAAGTATGGGAAACTAGAACTTGATTCCTGTTGAAATAATCCACTTGAGGAACAGTTTCTTCAGCTATCGCTGTAACTGATGGAGCCTATGACAAGTGTTCTTTTACAAGATGGATGGGCTCTAACATCCAAGCAGAGAATAGGAGATCAAGGACCTTACCGATGCAGTGTGTTCACAGGGTATCAGTGATCAAGTCAGGTTGCCTGTGGACAACCACATGGATAGACACAAAGACATACACATTCAGCATCTTAAGTCTTCTTTCAACATGTTTTATACATCATATACAAATTAGACAAAAAGTCCAACCGGGTCCTTTACTGCCACTGAAAAATGGGGGGAAATAATTTTCAATCTCATAGCCAAAGGCAAGAACACAGTACTAGGGCAATTTGTTTCTCCAAATGCCACAGTCACATGCATTCCTGCCTTGGCTGATGTCATACCCACGAGTCACTCAGCCCCATGACAAAGGCTGTGCAGGGGCTATGAGGTGGTGATTATCCACTATAGAAGCCTCTTCCATTCCCAAATGTCGAAAGTGCTGCTGGCTCACCTGCTCGGTCACACTGCACACACAGCAGAGCCAAACATGAGGGGCTTAGGACTCTAAATAGTGCAAACACTTAAAAAAAAAAAAAATCCAACCTCCTTGCTTCTCCAGGCAAACAAAGCCTTAAAAACTCCAGCTAACTGGAATATGAGTTTGCTAAACCTCCCAACCTGATCCAACAAGGTGCAAATGGGGAGCATGGAGGCGATTCAAATGGCACCTGTCCCAATAATAATAAAAATAAAAGACTGTTTTAATGAGGCTAATGGCAGACTGTTTTAATGAGGCTAATGGCAGATAAATACATAAAATAGAGCCTGGAGTGTAGACACAGCTCAAGAAACAGTAAGTTTTAGGGGTAGTGTGAGCATCTGTAAAGCACATGCTTAACACATTCTTAATGATCATGAGGACTGACCCCTGTTTTAAAGTTCATAGAGAAGATGCTTCCAAAAGGGACATCATCCAGCAGCAAAGGCCTTTAGCTGGTGGAAGCTTCCGAAGAACAAGGGGCAGAAAAGAATTGAGGACTGGTTTGCCGGACCTAGGAAACTCCTGGGAGTATGCACTGTAGGGCAGGCCTTTCTCTGGAGCTTCTCCACGCCACAGCGTGCCAGGCTCAGCACCAGGCAGTGAGAGCCACCAGCAGATGGGCCGAGCAGCCTCCCCCCTGCCAAGAGCGGGCTCCAAAAAAAAGTGGCCAGGCAATATAGTTGGGTAATTGCTGAGTCAGGCTAAACGTTAGTCCCGAAGCAATTCCAGAAATACCAGGGATCGTGTTTTCCAGCAATCTCCTTTGAATATGGTATGAGAAAGAGGACTCAAAGTCAAAAAGACTCATCTATCTGGAACTACTGAAAAATCAGTTTTTGGAGGGTGACAAGCAAAGGGAAAAGAGCTACAGGCATGAACTAGGAGAGTGAATGACTTACGGAACAGAACATTTCATCATCATGGATAATAAAAATCAATTCAAATATCCTAAAAAATTATCTTATAAAAATATCTACATTAAAAGTTTAGCCTGAACGCTATAGCTTCAGCTTTATAAAAAGGCAATCTTTGAAAGGCTCTGGCTCAGGAATATACAAACATTACACAACAGATACCAAAGTAACACAGCTCAAAAAGCATGTCAGGGGATATTGCAACTGGTTTGTCGTGAAACAGAATTAAGTATTCTTATTGCATAGCAGAAAATGAGGTCAGTTTCATTTGCATAATACTGCAACTTTTTAGAAGGAGAGATGCCATTAGGAGAAGGAACTTTGGAATTCAGAGTCTGACTTCTGTGTTGTCCAAATCAGTATCCAAGCGGCATCTAAGCGGCTTCTAACCTTGGGCCGCAATTCCATTTCATCACTGTGATCAGCTTTCAGATACACCACCTTCAAAGCTGCATTCACAAGCAGCTACAGCCACCCAAATGGGGGGGCAGGGGGTTTGCCTACCAACGTGACCAGCGGAGACTTAAAATCAAGTCAGCTGTGTTCACTGTGGAGAGAGAATCGTACCTAGTGATAGAGAGACAGCAGGTTTTAAATGGCCTCTGTGGGCAGCTAGAGGCCAAATGGCTTTTTGGTGGTGATGTACCAGTGTTGGAGTCCCCATGAGAAAGGACGGGTGAGGAGGAGATGAACCTGGCCTCAGCAGTACTACTGGGGGGGGGGGAGGCGCGGGGGGGGCGGTTCTTCCCAGGAAGGGAGACATGAGGTGGAACCAAGAGCAGAAAACGTGGCTGGCGAGCTCTCAGGGAAGGGACCTGCTCTGGGCAGATGAAAAACAAGAACCTCACCCACATATGCATCAAAGTCCAGCTCCTAGGTGTTGGGAAAGAGGGTGGGAAGTTCACCTTTAGTCTGAAATCAGGAGCTGTGTGAACAGCACATATGGGATCTCACCCCCCAGCCTCATCCCCATCAGAAACCAAAATAAAGTCCCAAACTCTCCTCAGGCCAGGAGGAAGAACATTTGCAACAGAAAGCTCATCCCATCAGCCTCCAAGCCAAGGCAGAGCTTTGAGACCACGGCCATCTCCAGGGCCAGGTGAGAACACAGCACCCAAATGAAGGCATGCCTTGAATCCTTTGCAGACTTCGCCTCCAGACCCAACAAAGCTGGATATATCAGCCTCTTCCCAAAGCTACTAAGAATTCCGGAGGCCTTGGTGCTGCCCTCCAAATGTCTTTTTTTTTTTTTTTTTTGCCCTCCAAATGTCTTACTGAGATAACATCTGCTCAATATCCTCAACATCAGAAGACGTTTCTTCTTCAAGAGAGTTGAGTGTTTAGTGCACAAAAAAATATACAGTAAATACACAAAGCGGCCAACTAGCTAGGGAGGCTACTGGCTTTCTAGCTGCAGGGGTGAGCTGGGGGGGATGCCAGTCTCCTGCAGTATCTGCTTGGAAGGAGCCCAGTTAGATCAGAAGTCCCACATCAGGCTTCATAAAGCCCCCTGACTCCTGTAAGTGGACCCCAAAATCAGGGAGCATTAAAGCCCAGCCCCCATGATGTGAGTGTACTCTTCAGACACAAGACCTTCCTTCCTTATGGCACAAATTCCAGCATCAGTGACTTGCAAGTTGAGGAATGGTTTCACGTTTCTTTTTTCTTTTTTTTTTTAATGAAAATGATTCCATGTGCCCTCAAATACCCACCCCCCCCCAAATGCTTAAAGTTCTGTCGTTAAATTTTAACTGTGAATTTGCAAAGCTCTCACCAAGCTCCTCTTTCAAAATGCAAGTATCCCTGAGAGAGATCACACATCCAGGGCATTTACCACCATCTCCTCCCTCTCAGGAAAAACAAGGAGGAAAGGAATATTCTGAGGGTTGGAGAGGGTACAAGCCCTGGAACAGGGGGAGAGCACAAGGAAAGGAAGACGAGGCCCTCAGGCAGACTTGACCATCGCCATCTAGTGCTGAGGGCCAGCCCCAGCTGGTGTACTCCTCTGAAGTCATCCACGTCCATCTAGATCACATATGACCCCCAAGGCAGGGGCCAAACTATCTCTGGGTTTGGAGGTATGGTGACCTTTTATTTATCCTCCAAACCAGAACACTTCTAAGAGTAACATGGGATGCTGTGAAGAATTAAGCCTGGATAGTAAGTATAGATGGGGAGTGTCCCATCCCAGGAAAACCCAGAAGTAGGATCCTCTCTGAGACCATTTTAGGCAGCAACTGCCTTACCACTTTGGTTTGTTGTTGTTTTGTTATTGTTTTTCATGTACGTATATGTATTTTTTTCTCCAGTGTGATACTCGGGGCTTCTCCAAAGAGCTAGTTTTCCCAACCGAAGAGACACAAAATCTCCCAAACCTGGAATCCACAACCTCAAAGACCAGTGGCCCAAGGACTAGGTGGTTCTCATCTGCTTCCTGGAGGAGAGCCCAAGGAAGAGCACCCAGTGGAGGGGCTGGGGACACCATCTGTTCCCAGTTCTAGCACACAGAAGACACAGTGCAGATTTAAGAATGCCCAGCTCTTCTGCAGACCGTGCCAGGGGTCAGAGCCAGTCTGTGGGCATGGTCAAAGCAAGGCCAGTCACCAGTCATTTCTGGACATTCCTGGCCTGTCCAAACAGAGCTCCAGAAGACAGCAGCTTTAGTAATCTCGGGTTTCCAATGGGGCACACATCCAGAAGAGAGGTTTCTGTGATTTGATTTTTAGCACAGAAGGATCAGTAGTAAAGAAATCCAGTAGATTGTTACACATCCCCCAACTTACTGAAACACCATGTTCTACACACACACACACACACACACACACAGGTTCTCAGGTGTTCCCGTAGAAACACACAAAAAAGCCCCCATGTGCTGCCTGGAGCTCTCAGGAACCCACTGCTCAGGGGGGAGGCCTGAACACCTCAGGGGGGCAGGGGGCGGTCACCAGTCTCCACACCGGACGCCACTTGGCCACGTCGGAGGAGGGCACTTCTTGCTCCTCTGCGGACTCTGGCAGCGAGTGGCAGTCAGGGTGCCGCTGTTCTGAGCCACAGGCAGCACCCCTCCCCTCCTCCACCTCCTGGCCGTGGGCGTGGGGGTCACAAGGGCTTGTGAATCACAGCAACACCTAAGACGAAAGGAAGAGAAAGTCAGCTTCTTCAAAGGTATCCAGAGTGCGACGGGGTTCATGAGTCCAAGCCATCCTAAAGCCCCAGTCAAGGGAAAGGGGCCCGTCTGTATCCAAGCATCACAGGGCCTGAGAACTCGGGCTGCCCGTGGTGGGCTCTTTCCCACTGTGACGCCCAAGTCCCGGCAGGACACTTGAACCCGCACGCACAGTCCTTCAGCACCACAGCTAGTGGTCTCCCCTCGCATCATCACATGGACACGGTTCCTATCATAAGGACTCCTTTTCCAAGCCCAGAACTCAGCCTCACGACACTCGGCACCAGCACCGGATGCCTGGGGGCAGCTCCATGGCTCTACCTCTCCATCACTGTAAGAGAAGTGACAGTGATTCATGCCTACTTTTACAAGACACTGAAATGAACCGCAAAGAATGGTGAACTGATCTCATGCAAGTCAGAAAAACTGCCCACCAGTCCTAGCTCTGCCACCAGTCGAGTTGCAGTGCGGCCTCAGGCAAGTCTACTGACCTCTTGAGGCTCAGCTCCCATACAGTTTGATGTCACCCGACGGAAAGACCCCTCCCGTGCTAAATGCTGTACTGGGAAAAACGGTCCAGACACGTCTGTCTGCGTTATGATTTCAGCCAAAGCGAACCAAACTCCACGGCTAACTGTGTGAATCCACAGATGACCCAGAGCGTCTCTGGAAGGTGGCAAACACTGTTGGTGGATTCAGCCAACCTCCCCTCTCCTTGCTGTCCGTGACGGCAGAGACCAGCATGTTATCGACTCAGCTTCCCAGACTGCCTTGCAGCTGGTGTGCCGCATGCCCCGGGCCTGGCCCAGACCGTTGTAAATGCACGTCTGCCCGGGCTGCAGCTTTGGCTCTGTCTGCTGCCCGGCCTGGAAGAAGGCTCGCACATGGCCCACGGCCGTGGCAGGAATCGGCAAAGCCGGCAAAACCGGAAAGGGAGGGCAGACCTGTTTTTCAACGACAGCCTGAGCCCTAGGCCAGCCCTGGGCTTCTGGACTTCCTTCTGCCTGAGACAGGTATGCTCCCTCCTTACTTAAGCAAGTACCTATCTGCTCCTCTGAACAAAATCCTAATTTACAGGTAAGATCTACTGGTGTAACCGACTGGAGCCTTACTTTAACTTATTCCCACGACTATAAAATCTTCTGGCTGCAGATGAGATTGAGAAAACACTGCCAAAAGAAATGCCAGGATACCCCAGGGGTGAGATTCTGCTAAGACACCCACTGCATGTGAGTTCTGGATAAAGGTGCAGAGAGAAAAGCTCAGAGGCGGGCAGCTCCACAGCCCCCAGACCCAGATGTGCTGCCTGACCTTGGCAACACCTTGCCTGAACCTCAGGACTCTTTCGTAGGGTAGCACTTTTTTTTTAAAGCAGGGTCCTGTATTGCTTTTTTATATAAGCAATTTTATATATTTTATATAAGCAATTTTATTATAAATATATATATCATAATATAAATATTATAAAACATATATAAATATTTATATATATAATTGCTTATATAAAAACAATATATAAAAATGCCTCCTCTTTTGGGGGCGCCTGGGTTGCTCAGTTGGGTGAGCATCTGCCTTCAGCTCGAGTCATGGTCTCAGAGTCCTGGGATCAGGCCTTGAGTTGGGCTCCCTGCTCAGAGGGGAGCCTGCTTCTCCCTCTCTCTCTATTTGCTACTCCCCCTGCTTGTGCATGCTTTCTCTCTCTCTCAAATATATAAAATCTAAAAAATAAAAAAATAAAATATTCTTAGGGAACCTGGGTGGCTCAGTCAGTTAAGCGACCGATTCTTGATTTCAGCTCAGGTCATGATCTCAGGGTCCTGGGATCAAGCCCCACGTATACTCAGCAGGGAGTCTGCTTGAGATTCTCTCTCCCCCTGCCTCTGCCCCTCCCCCCACACACACTCTGTCTCTCTCTCTCAAAATAAATAAATAAAATCTTTCTAAAAAAAAAAAGAGTAAAATATTCTCATTTTGGGAAATTTGGGAAACACAGAGGAACACAAGGAAAAAACATTTTCACTCCCTTCATACAAAGAGAATCACCATTATCTTGTTGGACTATTTCCCGGCTTCTAAAAATAATCGTGATCATCTACCGCAGAGCTGCTACATGCCAGGAGACACTGTGCTAAGCACCCTCCACATAGTACTGCACAACAGCAGTAAGAGACTTGCTATGATTTTATTCTCATTTTACAAATGAGAAAATGAGAATTTCAGTCAGACCGATCCCCTTGCCCAGAGTCCCAGGCCAAGTGACAGAGCTGGACCTCAAACTGAGATCTGACACCAACATCCCCTTCTTTGAGCAGTCGCTACTCAAATGTCCGTGATGCAGGACCATGTGACTGAGCTCGCATGGTACATACCCTGTGCATCCTCCCTTTTAAACCCACAGCCTGCCACGAACATGTTCTCATGGCACTAAAAACACTTCCACTGTACCAATAGTCCACAGTTTAACTATTTCCCTGATGTCAGACATTAAGAAGTTCTCAGTTCTTTGCTATCACAAATAATACTCCAAATGAATAACTATCCATCTGTCTCTGCATGCAGGCAATTTCTTTAGATTCTAAAAAAAAAACAAAAAAAAAGGATTCAGTCAGTCAATGGAGTTGAAGACAAATTGCACGTTTGCTTGTCTCTTTCCCACCTACTTCTAGAGTGGACAATGAAGAGGTAGACATGAAATATTCAGCACATATGTGAAATTCTAACCACTTACACCTAAATCTTGCCCTCTCATTAAGGTCCACTAGGAGCCAAGAGAGGACCCCTCACTGGCCTCGCTGCCTCATACTCGAAAATGCCCTGCTCTTCCCACGACAGTATTGAAAAGAAAGTACTAGTTTTAATAATTCATCTTGAGAAAAGAATCACTCAAAGACCAACATGCCTCTAAAATCTTTTATATTTAGTTGAAAAAAATCCTAAACAAGGGAAAACAGTAAAATCAGTTCATTGCAACTGAGGGCCTGTGTTGACAACATGGGATATAAGCCCCTTCAAGCCTGGCTGGCACAACCTTCCTTTGCACTGGATCCAAACAAGACTGAATGATTGACCTTCCACTGCAAAAAGGGAATCAGAATACCACTGGAGTTGTGACGTACACTAAAGGAGATCGTGGTTGGCAAATACTTAGGGTCATGCCTGGCACATTTTTATGTGCTCAGTAAATAAGTGTTAGTTCTAACTATTCCAGTTTCTGGAAGACGAGGTACAGGTTGCTGAGCTACATCATGGGTGTAAGAGTCTGCTTATCTCCCTACAGACCCCTGTTGTCAGCAGCACCAACTTCCGTCGGACCTCCCAAACCTCACCGAACCCATCACACACACTCCCCAGCAGCAGCATCGCTCCTTACTCCTGCCTCCACCTCTTGCCTGGAGTGCTTTCTCCCCCTCAGCTGGGGTAGTACAAAGGGCATGGGCTCAGGAGTCAGACCTGAGTCTGAATTCTGACTTTGCCATTTTTTAGCCATGTGGTCTTGGGCAGGTGACTTTGACTCTCTAAACCTCAGTTTCATCACCTGTAAAATGAAGGACACAGTCCCACTCACCCAGAGGGTTCTTGAAAGGATGACAGCTAATGGGTACATTGGACCTAACACACTGCCCTCCGGCACAGGGAGGGAGCCCCTGGCAAAGGGCAGCTCCCACTTAAGAGTTGATCAAGCCTCATTTCCTCCAGGAAGTTCTCACCTGTCATGCCTTAAAATACGGAGAGCATAACACATTCTATTGAGAAGTTATGTGTGTATTGCCTTGTAAGTCCTACTTCACGTAGACAGATCTTATCTTTCCCATTAAATTTCTGGAAAGCAAGAACTATATTTTATTCTACGTAGAAGCCCAGAAATGGCAATGAAATTCTAAAACCTCTTAGGACAAATCAGAGCAGTTGGAAGTGGCTCCCGGGAACACAGGTGTTAAAAAGAATTCTGGGCCTGCATTCAGGTTCGCTGGGGAAACCCGTGCTCATTAGGGGTATCTGTCGTGGGTGCAGAATGACAGAGTGGTGACACGCGACAATTATCCACCATCCCTGGAGGAGGCACTTAGCCCCAAGTTAAGCAAACTTACCTCCACCTGTTTAGAGGTGGGGTGGGGGTCAAGGTGCAGTCGGGCTGCAGCGCACTGACCTGCGTAGCTCCGCCCCGTGCTCATGTTGGTTGGTAGCAGCGTCCATTTGTCGGTGACAGGATTGTAGTACTCCACTGAAGCCAAGTTGCAGGATCCATCATCCCCTCCAACCACATACAGAAGCCCATTCACTGCACAGACTCCTGGGAAGCGGAGGCCACAGGAGACATTATAGCAGGAGCCCCGAAGGGGGCGGGAAGAACCAGAAACAAACGTGGATGGCCCTGGAGGCTCTCCTCCTCCCCTTCAAGGCAGCCCAATGAACCAGCTCATAGGTCTGACTTTGCTCAACGGGAGAGCATGCCGACAACAACCCGTGGGGCCCAAGGATCCCCCCTTTCTAAGAAGGTCCCTTCTCTGACCAGGGAGCTCTCACTGACCAGGGAGCTACATGCTCCCATGGACATTCCTGGCCCCTGACCCTATAAATACTTAGAGCATTATTGGTACAGGCCCCTGTCTACTGGAGCCTGCAGACCTCCCATGCGCAGACTGAGCTATGATCAGGGAATCTCACACATGCTACTCCTGCTTGTAAGTTTGCCCTGATAAAGGCTGTTATATCCATACTGTGTGGCTAATGGTTATGTCTGTGATGCCTCCATGTGACTTAGATTCTAAACCCAGACGCAGTTTACAAGGCATTCCTCCCACTGATCTCACGGAGAGCTGGTTTGAGGGCAAAGTCTCATACTGCAGGAAGCCAGGGGTAGGAAAATGCTATTTTGCAAGGCCATAGTCTAATACATTATGTCTTCTTTTAAAATTGCATGAAGGGGTTGATGATGTTCAAGAAGCAGTAATTCTAAGTACTGATGAAGATAATCTCAAATACTGGTGAGAGAATAAAAGGTACCACTTTCCTGGATGGTACTGAAGCAAATACGCTCCCTCGGGCTCAAAAATTTCACTCCTGGACTTATATTCTAAAGAAATAATTTGAGATGTGTGTACTGATTAGCCCTAGGACCATTTATAATAACAAAAACAGTATTACTGATCAAAAAAATGGAAATAATGTCCAATAGTAGATGAGATATTTAAATTGTGATATAGCCATTTAAAATATCACATAAATCTATTTCGTGTTATAAAAAGATAGTCGTGAAAGACTGTAAAGTGGATTAGAAAAGCAGGTTATAAAACAGGATTAAGTAGGATTCCACTTTTGCTATAAAAAAATAGAAATAGCTCTTTGTGAATGTGTACATATACACACATTTACATCTAAACTTAATTCTTGGATTCTTGATACACTAGCTGTCTTGGGGGTTCTGTAATCCCTTGCTCATGGGGCTTAAGGCCAAATGGTAAGTTATATCACAGGAGGCTCAGGCAGTGGGCAAATTAATAAACCCCCCTCTGTTTACACTTTCAACATGTGAGCTACAAATGAGTTTAGCAAACAGGTAATTTGAGTATAAAGGAAATAAATCTGCCTGAAAGTCAGCTGTTTATCTTTCCAGCCTGGGAAGCTAAGCTAAGCCAACACATTCCTAGAACAAAGAGGCATAAAACAAGATATACCAACAGAGGACACGAGCCATAGGGCAAAGTTGTTAAAGCAAAGAGTTTAATAGGGATGTCAGGCTCCCAGAATAAATATCTAAACACTCTAAGATACATCATTCCCACAGGAAGGAAAAGAGGGAGGGGACAGAGAGACAGGAGGTACAAAGCAAGGAATATGGGAAGCGCTCCCACTGGAGAGTGAATTAGGGCCCTGGTGACCCCCACAAGGAATGAGATGGGTTTCAGGTGGGAAGCAAGAGGTTCTCAGAGCCAGGTACTGGCAAAGAAAACACAGAACCAAGTGTCACTGACTGGCCAGGTCCACACAGCCCTGTGCTTAGCTACCCAACAGAGCTATGGGCCGGTAGCTTGGAGGGCAATCAGAGGGCTATTTGGGTGTGTGTCCACACATGTACCGTGAAAGTCATCAGCCCCCTGCATCTAAGCGGGGGACCCCGTGGCTAGCGCTCGTGTTCCCCAGCTCTCCCCTCTGCTAGCCCAGCACCTACCTGGCGAACGGATACTCCCATTGGGGGTACAAGCTCAGGCCCAGATTCTGGGAGTCTCTCCCCTCCCCCTTTCTCTTACAGCTGGGGTTTGCACCCACACCCCCCAAGGGCAGAAGGACAGAGCGGTCGCATTACCTGCATTTCGCCGGCACATATTCATGTCTGCCACCTGCTTCCAGGTGTTTGTTCCGGGATCGTAAACTTCAACGCTCTTCCTTACCAGGGGTCCGTCGTGCCCACCCGTGGCATACAGCTGGCCACTGAGCACCCCGACCCCTGAAAAGCAGAGCACAGCATCACAGCCTCGGGCCGGCAACCGTGACCAGAAGCCAGGAGGCCTGGCTTCTGGTCCTGGGCAGCCGTCAGCAGCAGGGCGGCCTGGGGAGTGCTGATTTGTTCCCCCAGGGCCCTCAGGGCCCTCAGCTGTAAAACACATAGAATGATGCCCTGCCTGCCTCCTAAGCCTGTCAACCTGAGAATCCCCTACAGATAAAGCAAAAATCACCCCGTGGCTATTTAAAGAAACATAACTGTATGTATACACGTAACATATATGTGTGTATGCATGTGGGTATAAAATGGGGGAGAGAGAGTTCATATGCAAAGAAAAAAGAAAAAAAAAAAAAAGACTGAAAGACACCCTCCAAAACTTCAGAAGCAGTTATTTCCAGAGGGTCAAAGTTGGCCTCCCTTTGGGCTGTCTGTGTGGCCGAGTTTTTCTACCATGTCGTACTACTCGTATTCTGTAGCCTTCTATCATACTGGTTGCGCAGAAAGAGTGCGAAGTGGAAACGAGCCGCGCAGCCGACCACGCAGACCACCCTGCCCAGGAGGCAGAACTCATTCTTTCAGCCCCGTGCTCTCCTCTCAGCTTGCTGGGGAGGGAGGGCTTCCATTACTCCCGATGTTGAGAGACCTGAGCCAACTCCTAGAATGGCATCGCCGACAGGATTTAGAATAACCTTTTAAAATCCTTTCGTGCAAGTCACAGGAATCAAAGCCAGCAGGAAGGAGGGTAGCGCAGGACCCCTGGAAGAGCAACTGACCTGGTGGCCAGGACACGTGGGGTCTGGACCTGTGTCTCTAACTTGCCCTTTGTAGGCCTCAGTTCTCCCATCTGCAAAGCGAGGGAGCTGGACTGCATGGGTAGCTCCAGGGGACCACGGACTACTCCACCCCACCACAGGCTGCATCTCAATCAGGTGGGGAGATTTTGAAAAGAGAGATTCCAGGGCCTCACTCCCAGAGACGCTGGCTGGGAATCAGAACAAGGACCTCACGTGATTTGGGGATGTGCAGCCAGGCGTCAGACCTGACCGCTTGGTTTCTAGGATATAAGCTTCCCATGGACAAGGACCCGGTCTGTCTTATCTCATCTGTTTTCCTGGGCCGGACGGTACTGGGTTTATTGTTTGAATGACGCAGTATGTAAAATGCCATCTAGCAATTATGCTGGCGTGCTAGTGGTGCCTCACAGTTGCCCGAAACTAACAGCAGATGGTGGTGTTGTATCAACAACGGCTAGCTAACAGACCTGGGCTTAACGACAATTCAGTGTGTTCCAAAGCAGCCTCATGGCCCCTCTTGCGCGCTCAGCAGGATCTAGCTCAGCCTGGGTCCCAGAGATGGACTCTACCCCCCCAACCATCTGCTAGCAAGGCTCATGCCCTACTGAAGAAGCAAGCAGCGTTCCAGGCCCTCGGGGTCCCCCTTGCCCTTCTGTAGCCTCTTCCACAAATGTTCACACAGACGTCTCCTGGACCCCGAGCCACGGGGGCTCCTGGCACTTCAAAGGGCCAGAGGCAGCCAGAGGCCAGAGTCTTTGAGTCTTCAGCCACCAGAGAACACCCACCATCACAAGTTTGTGGGTTCTCCACTCCAGAGGTGCGGCTTTCCCAAATCTCAGGGACGTGAAGCACGAAACAAAATCTGACCTGGGAGCCTGACGCCAGGGCTCTGACAGTAAGGTGAGTAAAGAGTCCGCCTCTGGGAGAGAGAGCATCCCCTAAATTGAGTTCACCCAGGGACACAGGCAGGAGAGATGCCACCGTCGAGGGCCACTAGCCCAGGTAAAGGTAAGAGCAGCTCGGGTGAACTCCACACAGCAACAACCCCTGGGAAGCCTGGCCGAGACAGAGCGGTTGGCCTCCAGAGGCTGATCTAGGGCAGCTGAGGCAGGTCTCCTAGTAGCTCCACATGGGGCTGCCCCTCCACACTTTCTGCTGGAGACATCCCTAGAAGCAGCCCCCATCTTGGCGCTGCCCCACTCCTCCCGAACTGTCGCTACATCCTTGAGCTTTGAACTTGCTCTCACACCTCAAGTCACAGAGGATTCCTAGGAGGTACAAAAACAACTCTACCAAGACTCCATAAACCACAGTTACTGAAAGAGCTCTGTGAAGGGAGAGGAGCCACGAGATGTGTGAACTGCACTGGCCCCGAAGGAACACCTACTACCACCCACTCATTTCACATCTGAGGAATCAGAAGCCAGGACGGGGGAAGGGACAGGCCCACGGTCACAAGGCAGGTTCAAGCAGACCCAGCACTGAAGCATAGGTGTCCTGACTTCCAGGCATTTGCTCCACGTTCTATTCAGGAACGGCCAACTGGTCAGAATCAGCAGAAACAAGCCCACTAAAAATAGCATTCCAAACACAAATGCTTCTTAAATGGGACCATACACCTTCCTTTTTCTTTTCTAACTAGTGAGCACACGAAGGTTTTTGAATAATATTAAAACAGCATAATTTTTAAGGAATGCTGAAGAAGTGGTCGTGTGTTTGGTACTATAAAGTGAGATCACAATTCAATCTTCAAAAATACAAAGAAGAAAAAAATACATATATAAAAGAAAGACCTTGAAGGCATTATACTAAGTAAAATAAGTCAGAGAAAATATCAGATGATCTCCACGTATATGTGGAGTCTTAAAAAAAAAAAAAATCAGAGCTCACAGTATAGAGAACAGACTGATGGTGGCCAAGGGCAGGGAACTAAATGGTGGGCCAAAAGGATGAAGGTGGTCAAAAGGTACAAACTTCCAGTTATAAAATAAAAAAGTCATGGGGATGTCCTATACCACACGGCAACTACAGTTAATAATACTGCATTTCACATTTGAAAGTTGCTAAGAAAGTAGATCTTAAAAGTTCTCATCACAAGGAAAAAAAATTTTGTGGCTATGTGTGGTAACTGATGTTCATGTATGTGGTGATCATTGCATAATATATACAAATACCAAGTAATAACGTGGTATACCTGAAACTAATATAGTGTTGTATGTCAGTTACACCTCAATTTTAAAAAACACAAAAGAGAAAGGAAGAGCACTGTGGATGAAAACTCCCAAAGGCGGCTTCCCTTCGTGGAAGTCACACAACCTTCCCACGAGGCCCAGGCTGGTCAACACTCACCAACCCCCAACAGAACGAGAATGGAGAGCCAGGGCCCAGTGTCCAGTGCCTCTGTCTGTCCTCTCAGACCCTTTCTTTGGGCCTCTAAGATGATGGGGGCTGTTGTTCCACTTCCTGGAAAATCCCCAAGGAGCACACAGCCCCTGTTCTTCCCACAGGATTCAGAAGTGAGCCACACTTGCGAAGGCCTTCCCTTTCCATGTGGGGAAGAGGGCACGGGGGTGGGGGGGGAGGGCAGGCAGAGAGAGAGAAGTTTATCTCCAAACAGGAACACTGACAGCTTGGCTTTCAACCCCCAAGACAGAGACCCCAGACAGGCAGGCTTTAATTTCATCTGCCAAGACTGGGACAGCCATGCTCACCCTACTACTGCCTAAGAATGAGGCTGTAATAATTTAGAGGCCAAAAATGCTAACTTTGGAGACGAAGCTGAGTGGGAATCCTACTCTACCAGTTATATGACCTTGGGCAAATTACTCGCCCCCTGATCAACTTACTTTCTGTTGAATGGAATTAATGTTTTCTCTACCTCTTACGGCGGTGGTGAGGATTAAATAAATTCAAGTACAGAAGGTACTTATTGGGACAGCACGTGGCACATAGTGAGCCTTCACCTTCCAGGGATGCAGATGTCTCCACAGAAATGGAAGGGATGACGCCAAAGAGAATATCCCCTGGGAGGGGCTTGTGTTGAGCTACGAAGGTGTCAGTGGGATCACAGACGTTAAAAGGAAAGAAGGTAAAATAAGGTAGAATGTGCTCCTGCTGGTCTCCAGGCCCCCCTGAGAGCAGATCAGACACAGCCCGCGCCCTGAGGCTCCCCCCGTACCTGCACCACTGCGGCGGGTGCTCATGTCCGCCACATACGTCCACTCATTGGTTGCCGGGTTGTACTGCTCCACGGTGCTCAGGCACTGGCGGGAAGCCCCATCATAACCCCCGACAGCATACAGCTTCCCTGGAACAGACGAAGTGGCTGAGGGTGGTGCTGGCTGAAACTCCATCTTTAACTCGCGGGGCGCACCTTCACCTCCATCAGAGGTTCAGAGTCCCTTTCTTCCAGAGGGACCACAAACCAGACTAGGCATTCTTCACATCTCTGCCTTCTACTTCCTCGTAAGCCATGAGGCTCCCTGAAGCAGTACTAAGCATCCTTCTAAATCAGGACCCTAAATACCCCATGCAAAGCTATGGCCTGGCTCCACTGGGGCTCAGCCTACTCTTGCCAGTGCTCTACATGAGACCTTCTCCAGAATAAGGCGACAAAGACACAAAAAGCTAGAGGGCCCCAGCTACAGGCAGGCAGGTTGACTTTTTGGCTAAAGGCTCACAACAGCAGACAAAACAAATATGGGAAAATATTCTTCGGTGAGAACTCAATCCCTGTCTTCACCATCAGTCGTGTGCTGTGTCCACAATGCCAGCAAATGGGGAATGTGGATGGAGTGCTCTGTGTGCACCCTGGGCTGGGGTGCCTGGAATTCATCTGTCCGCTCCCTTGTGATCTTGGAGCCATGCACAAGATCCCTGAAACACCACTACCCATTTTTAAAATAAAAATACTGTAAGCTGCTACCCAAAAGCATCATTTCTGCCTGGAGCTGGGCATGAGGCTGGACAAGGGGCAGGAGATTGGCATGAGAGTGCTCCCAGAGCAGAGATTTAAATATGGAGGGTCTCCTCTCGCACCCTCCCGCCATCCCTCCCCCTCTTCCTCCCCCTCTCTCTACCCTCCCCCTCCACCGAGTGTGTGTGTGTGTGTGTGTGTGTGTGTGTGTGTGTGTGTGTGGCAGGGGAAGTCCTACCTCACCTGTGGGCCACAGACCGATGGGGAACAAGTGAGTTATAACAAAGATCTTAAACACTAGCTGTAGACCAAATGAACACTGCCCAGTGCAAATCCACTTAATAGAGTTAGTAACTAAAAGAGGTTTTTTGTCACTATGTGCTTTACTAAGGGGGAGATAACAAAAGTACAACTATTATTTGGAAGTCTGCAATTCTTTTAAGTTACAAAGAGGCTCAAAACTGTGCTGCACCATCACGACTATTGACGTATCAAATGTAAAATTATTTCTTCCTCTGTCATTGAGGCTGGTTTTGTTTTCTGCCCCAGAGTCCTCTCCAGCGGAGCTTCTAAAAGAAAGGGACACCTCCTCCCCAGTTCTGCCCTCATCTAAGCCAGAAGAAAAATGCCTGATCCAGAAGCTCTTCCAGGGTCCAGGCTGCTCCTGCGACATGTGCTGGCCAGGACACAACCACCTACCCACCCAGCTGCCCACCACTCACCAAAGCCTAAGTCACTCGGGGAGGAGGAAGGCCTGGGGTGTAGAGGAGATGAGAATCTCCCGAGGGCAACCCCAGAGTCATTGAGACCAGGCAGCCATGGAAGGAGACAGGGAGAAGGAGGAGAGTACCGTGGCAATGTGGAGAGCTGAACCTACAAGGCCACAGGCAAGCAGAAGCCCCATGAGATCCTCCTGAAACATTCTCCTAAGCACTGTGAGGAGGACCCTCTGCTGGCCCAGGGTGACCCACAGCCAAAGGGCTTCAAAGTCAGGATGCACAAGATCAACACATTGCCAGGCTGCCCTCTGTGTCAACAGGCACTCTACAAGACAGCATTCCTTCCACACACAGAACGTGCTCCCAGGAGCCCTTGTCAAGGGGAGTATTTCAAAGCACTACCATGGAGGCAACTTCTCGAACCCCCACCAACCATCTCAACCTTGCGTCAGCTGAAAAAATACCCACTCAAGGTTTCTCCTTGAGTCTATTAACAGGGACTTGCTATTTTTAACCCCTACTCTATTGTTTGATATTCCTGGCTGAGGAACAAGGGGGGAAATGGGAAGGTGGCTAGACAAAGCACTTACATTTGGCAGACAAATCAATTTCTGTTCCACCAGGAGGATGAGATTGCAAAAAAAACAATTTATCTTGATAGGAGGACAAAATCCTTGCACTCCCCAAGATGACTTATTTAGTATGTTAGAATGATATGTACTTTTAAATGGAAATTTATGTAATACTGGTACAAACCAAGAACAGGGAGAGAAAAGAATGTTTCTGTTAATGTCTAATCGCTGCACATTACACTCTCCCCAAAGCAAGTACGTGTGTTCTTGGGGGCGCACACGAGAGAGAGAGAATGTCTGCATACAAGTCTAAATGCACAGATATTCCAGCTAAATTCCCTCTTTCAGGACAGGCTAATGAATCAGTGTTGTCCTACAAAGGATAACATTTTTGTCTAACTCATACTCTATGCTTTAATACACTGAATTCACACGTATTTATAAAACTCCCTATTAGCATTTGCTAATGGTCTGAAAGAGTGTAGCATAATGGAAAAAGCCCTGAGTTGGGAGTCAGAAGACCCGGGGTTAAGGACTGGCTGTGCTATTGACTAATGGGCACATCACGTGCCCCTCTGGCACTCCACGTCCCCATCTGCAGAATGGAGAAAATCTAAGCCCTGCCTATCTCCTTCAAAAGGTTTAGGGAACAAAATTTGTACATAAAGGAGCCCTTTATAAACTACAGAGCCCTGTCTAACTGGGCCCGAGACCTCATCCCTCCCACCCACCTCACCCACACACTCTTCCTGACGAGAGCAGGACTCTAACACCCACCTGTCCTGCAGTGACAGTAATCAGACCTGGGAAGAAATGCCCACCTCACTCAAGGCTCTGTTCATGTGTTAATGGTCAACAGAGGAACAGGAGGACAAAATTAAACAAAACGAACTCTGACCCCTACCACATTATACTCCCAGGTTATATGTTAACTCTAGATTCCTCAACCTGCAACAAAACTGGTGACAAGTGGCCAAAGGGACAGGCCAGTGTTCCCCCTTAGGCTCCTCTTACTCTTCCCAACGTGGCTGGCCACCTGCTAGCCTCAAGCCAGTAGCTGCACTTCTCTGTACCTCAACCTTCCTCACCTATTCTGTCAGGATGCTAGTACCTGACTCAGAGCCGTGATGGGAGGAACAGAGCCAGGACACTACGACAAGACCCACGGGCTAGGGCACGGATGGGCGGCCGCCCCCTACCATTCCTTACCCTCCACGACACCCACACCCACGCTGCTCCGCCGTGTGTTCATTGGGGCCACGAAGAACCACTCGTTGGTCTTGTAGCTGTAGGCTTCCACGGACGCTAGGCCTGGGAGACAAGAGACTCATGAGGTTTCTACACTGCCAGGCCTCACCCAGTGTGCCCAAGTGAGGCTGGGAGAGGGTGAAAAACCCACTTGTGAGGCTCAGCACCACCTCTCCCTTGCCATGTGGTCTGGGGCACCTCCCTGAAGCACATCTACAGTGAGTCTACCTGAGAGGCCCACTGAGGCCTGACTCAGGGCGGGTCATGAGAGGACACGGGGGTACAACAGAACTGCCCTGCAAATGTAAACTGTTACACCTACAGAATGAAGGGAAAATAGGAGGTTGCCTCACCAAACACCTTCTTTTCCCTTCTCTTCCTCTACCTTAGAAGCTAGAAAGCTCAACACTTACCTTCCCAGACTCCCTAGGGGTGACCCAGTCAATGAAGTCCAAGTAGAAGTCTCATGGGCATTTCTGAAATAGTCTTTGTTTTTCTGATATAGGTGCCAACACCAACCTGCTTGCTGCTACCTGGAATACCAGTGTGCTGGCTGGAGCTGTGACAGCCATCTTACGATCAGGAGGATACACCCAAGGGACGTTTAAAGAGCTTGGCCCCAATATTCTTGAGCAAGTGGATGAAGTGAGCAACTGCCAACTTCCAGACTCCCTGTTTCATGGGTAAAACAGTACCTCTCAATTGCTTCGGCCACAGTTTGGTGAGGTTTTCTACTTGCAGCTTAGAGCAATTTCTAAAAGAAACAGCGCTCCACTCCCTTTTTTTCTCTTTATTACTCAGGTCCTACCCACTAGAGGCAGCCCCTGGAGGGGCTGCAGACCCTGGAATTTTATGAGCGAGGCAAAGAGAAGACTGGGAAAGGTTACCAAGTGGTAAAGACACAAATGAAAATTTAGGGGAGTAAAAAATATTGTTTTCCACATCCCTGGGGGCATTTCAGTAACAGAGTTACTGTCTACAGAGACTTTCACCTGGAGGCATAGGAGAGATGAGATAATCTCTCCAAGTCCACACCTATTCGTAGTTTCTGATTTAAACTCTGAAGTGACACAGAAGCCAGGAGCAAGGGGACGCTCCCGCAGTGACACAGCCAGGCAGAGCTTCTTGGGGCAATAAAAAGGCAATGGACAAAGATGGCAGGGCCCGAGCCAGGTCTCTCCCATGGCTGAACCCCAGCTCCCTTGTCCATCCAGCAGAGGCTTCGGACAGTCCTGAGATGCCCTGCAGCTGAGCATGCTCTCTAAGTCTTGTCTTTCAAAAAAATGGGTTCCCATATGATAGGAGAAAAGGACCTCTTCTGAGTGCAGGACGCTTCCTAGAGTCCTAGAAATGATAGCATGTGGGCAGTTACGTATCTTGTGTATAGGAAGGCACTGAAGGCATGTCTCAGGCTGGGAAGAGTGGGGACCACATCCCAGACCTACCAGTACTGCCATCAAAGCCCCCCACGGCATAGAGCAGGTCATTGAGTACGGCCGCGCCCAGAGTGCTCCGGCGCTCCTGCATGCTGGCGATGGACGTCCACTGGTCCTTCACACCGTCATATACATCCACGGTCCGTACGCGCAGTGAGCCATTAAACCCGCCCACAGCATACACGTGACCAGCCATGAACACCACACCTGCAGCACAGGAAACCAAGGCATGGAGGTCATCTCAGGCGGCTGATGACTCATGCGGTGACGATAAGTGACAACAGGGGAGCCAGGCAGTCACATGAATAATTCACCACAGTGATCTCCAACTTTACAGAACCAGAAGTCATCATAGGGCTCACTGGATTTCTATTCATATATGCTTTTCTAATGTTATTTGATTCAAGCAAATACTTGTCCTAGCGTGAAGTCCCTAAGCACATAAGAACCGACCTCAGAAGGGGCAGCCAGAAATCGGGTAAGTGGGGAAGGAAGAGGAGGAGAGTGTGTAAATGCATAGATGTTTGTGGACACAAGGAGCAGGGGAAGGTTTCCGGCAGTAAGCAGAGACAAGCTGGGGAAAGGCAGGCTGCAAAATGACAGATGGTGCTGCTCACCTGCTCTGCATCTCCTGGAGGGAAGCTCAGCAATCTGGTCCCACCGGTCCTCTTCAAAATCATAGCATTCCACGCTGCGGATCGCCTTGGGGGCCTGGCCACCAACCACAATCATGACCTCCAGAAAAACAAACAGACATTAGCTGGGTCTCCCCAGCTAATGGATGCGTGCATGATCAATCCCTGGTCCGTGCACACGCCAATTGCCCAGGGTCCATGAGTGACCTGACATGCCAGTTTACAGAGTTAAATACGTGGAGATGCTACCCCAAATCACCAACAAACAGGACGATTCAAGAAAAGTCTAACAAGGACATCTTGCCACAGAAACACCATCATAAGGTCTACACTTCCCAAATACCTATGCTCAGGGCTATGCTGGTGGTATGTGTAGCCACTCAGGGCATGCTCTACAATCTCGCTGTCCTCAAGCATTTGGGCCGGGGGGATGAAATTTTGTATCAAAACAAAATATCCCGAAATATATATCAAAACTTGAATCTATTTTGGAATGGAGTGCAGAACTTGGATGCATTTTAAGGAGAAAATTACCTCAAAAATATTTCTGAATACACAGACTACAGGGAGCACTTATTCATTGTAGTCCGGGGCAAAATTGTGAAAGACTGCTTTGGGGTAGTGACCACAGAAATTTATGTAACTGATGATGCTCTGAAAAATAGTGCTAACAATACTGTTCCCACAAGTATGGTAGTGGCTCCCAGTGCCAGTCACCATGTGAAATGTGTTGTTATTTACGTGTCACCAAAACCCCATGAGGGAGATATTATCCATATTGACAGATGGGGAAGTTAAAGCTCAGAGAACATAAGTAAATCGCCCAAGGTCACACAGCTGAGAGCGGCAGAACAGAGATCGAAAACCAAGTCTACCTGACTTGGAGGTGAAGGTAGCCCCACCCCTCTCCTGCTCCAGAGACAGGGTCCACGCAAAGACAGCTCATTATATCCATGTTTTTCAAACTGTAGGTCACATTTCATGAGTGGGTCATGAGATGAATTTTATGCATTGCAACCGGCATACTTTTAACAGAGCAGCACAGAAAATATAATAAGGGTGTTACTTCATGAAACATTTGTTGGGGTTATACACACATGTAGGTGTCTCCTGGATAACAATTGAAACATATTTCTTATTGTACAGTATCATCAGAAAAGAAAGAAAGAAAGAAAGAAAGAAAGAAAGAAAGAAAGAAAGAAAGAAAGCAAGCAAGCAAGCCACTGGTCCAGCTATAGTAACAGAACCACGGCATTTAACTGTGGTATCCCTGTTGCCGAGATTTTTGTCACACGTTATTCATCAATAAAAAAATAAAGTAGCCAAGTTAACAATAGTGTACACATTTTAATAAACTTGTGCAAATTCATGGCCGTCCCTGTTAGGACATCATGCTCACTGGCATTCCAAGATGCCTTCTTCTGTGGCAAGAAAGGGGTGGAAATCACAGGTAGCCCATCAGTAGGAGTCTCAGGATGTTTTCATTACCTGTAGCTTGTATTATTTACTCCTATGGTTCTCAAGCTTCAGTGTGCATCAGAATCACCTGGTGGGTTGTTAAGACACAAATTATTGGGCCCCTGCCAGAGGTGCTTATTCAGCAGGTCTGGAGTGGGACAGAGAATGGGCATTTCTAACAAGTTCCCGGTTGAGGCTGATGCTGCTATTCCAAGATTCATACTTTGGTAACTACTGTTTTCACCCTTGGACCGCAGGGTTTGCTGATGTTCCATTAACAATTTCTGCCATTATGAACTACCATAGTACTTTTACTTCTCCACAACAAATGTTTGAGGAGAGGAGTGGTGATCAAAATCTATGTGAGCTCCCAACAGTACATGCCTCAGGTGAACAGCATCTACACCAGGAGGCAGAACTGGGGCCGACAACTACTGCTCATCCATCATTTACACCCCAAAATTCCAGATCCAGGCTCACCCACTGCCCACATGCGTGGTCACAGCCATCTGTGGTCAAATGTGGGTGCCCAATGTTCAAAAACTCAGAAGTCAGTTCTGACTTCTGGAACATTCCAAAGGAACCCAGGACACACAGTCCAAGCTTAGAGCTACTGCAACTACTTCTGGAAATAAACCTCCATTAGGCAGCTCAGGGGTCTGCTGCTCTGTGTCAGGAGGGGCTCTTTTCAGAGAAAAGCTGAATTTGACATTACTTCCCTTCTGTAATTTTTTGCTTAGACAGGCATCCAAGAACAGTTTAAGGGGGATGTTAATGAACACAGCCTCTTGGCAAACTCAGACTATGCCCACCTTACTCCTCCGGGGCCCAGTGACTTGCCTCACATTCTTAAACATGCCTAGAACGTGCACTGTCCTTCTGGTTTTGAGTTGGTAAAACTAAAGCAAAGGCACAATACTGTAATAATTTTCTATGAAATCTGGTTTGGGGGAACTAAGTAAGAATAAAACCAGGTTTTAGTTTTCTTTCTGCAAACACCTCAGGCACTCAACACCCTCTGTTCCCTCTCCATGAAACATTCTTCCCCCTGTCTGGATCCCTCTGCTCTAACACATGCTTGTCTTTCAGGTCTCAGTTGACCAAGTGTCACCTCCTCCAAGAGGACTTCTCTGATCTCACATCTGAGTTACTGTCCCTTCTCTGAGATCACTACATGCCCTGGGTTCTCTCATTAAAACTGCCCCACATTGTGCTGTAACTGCCTGGCTACCTTGTCTTCCTGGCGAGATGGTGACCCTGGCCAGGACAGAAAATGTATCTACCTCAATCACCGAGATAATCCTAGGGCCTCATGGTGCCAGGTAAAAGTAGGACTCAGATACTTGGAATATGGAACGAATGAATGGTTAGTAGCATATGCAAAAAGCCAAACCAAAAAATAGAGAGTTAAATGGAAGAAAATACACAGTCCAGAACGTCACTTTCTGGGATTAAGATATGTTGAACACTAGATTACAATTCTGGAGATAGAATTTGAGAGGAAAAAAATAAATAAAAAGAGAAAAAGAGAACTTTTCCCATCTTTTCACTCAACCACCAGGAGAAAGACTGCTTATTCCCTGTTCAAGTTAACAGGCTTCCTCTGTAAATAAAATTTTAAAAAGTAAAACAAAATAAAGGCAAAGCTTTCAAGGAACCTCACCATGCCCCAGAAACCATCTTATGCCAGGGGTAGGGAGGTATATTCGTACTGGAGAAAATCCAGTACTCATCTCTGAGATTTTTCAGAGTCACACAGAAACACATCATACAAATGCAAAAAATGTCAATGGTAAGGTAAAACCTGAGTAGAAAGACAAAAGTAATACAGAACAAGGTTTTGAAAATAAACTTGCCTTGGAGCTTATAAAGCCACTGTTGAGACACAACTTTAATATTCAACTTGTACAATAATCTGGGAAGAGTAATTATGAGGTTTTGTGGGGTAGGACCATTGGTTTCTGAAGATGGAGAGGTAGCTCAAGGCAGGGGGAGGAGGAGGTGTACTTTCTGCTTCTTTCACAGGCCTAAGAAATCCAATTTCTATGGCAGGCCTTGCAAGAAGCCATCACACAAGGAACGCTATACTCGTTGTGTAATCGTGCAGAGTAAAAGAAATACATTTCCTATCTTGAATACTAACGGAAGACTGTTTCCATAGATACCTGATCTTAGCAACGAATTAGACAAAAATGAGTACTCCCCAAGTCTACATGCATGACATCTCTAAAATTATAAACCTCTAGCTACTTAGGAAGACCGTAAGATGTCAGGGCATGAAGACACTTAAACAGTTCTTTCCTGCAAGCCCTCATTTTACATTTCCAGAAAAACTCAGGCCCAGGATGTTTCACAAGCGTATTTCTTTCTTTCCCTCACACCCCTGAGTCCCAATTTACTAAAGACTTGTAATGCCAATAATAGAAATTACTGAGTCCGATCAGCTAAATGATTGCTATTTTTAACATGTATCCTTTAAGGTAACCCTGAGAAAGAACTACCAGGGGTCGGTCATACAGGCATCACAATAAAGAACTGGTTCCAGGCTAACAATTATGCTAGACCAAACACAATTTACTCATGTTCAAGAACTGCAGTGTACTTGGGAGTCTGGCAGCACACCGCAGGGTCCTAACCCCAAGTCTCAAGAGCCACGGTGTTGAAGGCTGCAGAAGTTCTGGAGGATGGAGAATTCTGGTTGACAGAATACAGGTGAGCCAGACTCAACTGTGGGCGGCAAGGCCGTTGGACAACTCCCAAGGGAAACACTCATTTTGGAAAGTCCAATGGCCATTTATTGTAGGGAGCTTAGTGAGACCATGGAAAGACTACCTGATTCCTTAGGAAGGAAATTTCACTCCCAGCCTAACAAGATGGTTTTTAAATAAATATATAAGGCTGTCTCCTTCCATGGAGGATTTAGACTGTAGCACCATGCCGGGGGAAGTGAAGGCATGTATGAGTATGACGACCAGTCTGTACCCGAGACTAGCCAGGGACAGGTGCAGTAGGGGAACAGAGCAGAGCTTTCTGGCTCACCTGTCAGTCACAACCCTAACCTCTAAGTCATTAGACTCTCCACTATGGTAAGAGGAATGACCTGGGCTCTGTAAACTTTTTTCATCAGGCAAGAGTGGAGGGTGTGTCCAAACTCTCTTCCATGACAGGTGAGCTGGGCAGAAGGCAGGCCCAGCCAGTCGGTCCCTCGGGCCAGGGCAGGAAGCGAGAGTCTCTCTTACCCTGGTGCGTGGGGCCGCAGGGCTAACACCAATTCATCCGAAGGAGCATGTCGAGGTCGAGGCAGAAGACTTGTCCCAGCAGGTTCCTGAGCAACAGGTGCTCGAGGCAAGAACCGACAGCCAAAGTGCAGAGACAGTGTGGCAGGTGGAGAACCAGCAATGTGGGAGCAAGACCCAGGGGAGGGAGAAGGAGTGGGAATATGGATTTTGGAGTCAGACACATCTGGGCTCAGGTATCAGCCCAGTCACTAAATAGCTGTGTGACCATGGGCAAGAAATTTAACCTTGCCAAACTCACTTTCATTACCTGTATTATCAGGATTATAGGATGTTTCTCTCATGGGTGTCAGGAGCCTTAAAGGACACAAAGCACGTAGCACACAGCTCAGTACATCACACACAC